CGTTGTACCTTTGAGCAGTCACTTAAATGAATGGTTGTAAGTCAAGGACTACCTGTAATATTCTTCATAATCAATAATCTCTCCTAAATATCTTCTATTTCCTTCTGTCCTTAGTCTGGAGCATCCAATTTTGGTGAGAAATTCTCCCGGGTCAAGTTCTCCCCATCGTTGACCCTCTTTGGGGGGAAACCTATGGAGGGCTGGATCGCAGTAACCATCAGCGGGCTGGTCACCGTCTCACTGCTGAAGCCCAACGGACAAGTGCTGACCTCCACGGAGAGCCTCTGTCGCCTGCGCTGCCGAGTGGCCTTGGCTGATATTGCTTTCACTGGCGGAGGCAACATTGTGGTGGCCACGTCAGATGGCAGCAGTGCCTCTCCAGTCCAGTTCTACAAAGTCTGCGTCAGTGTGGTGAACGAGAAGTGTAAGATCGACACAGAAATCCTCCCTTCCTTGTTCATGCGCTGCACCACAGACCCAGCTCGGAAAGACAAATATCCTGCAATCACCCACTTGAAATTTCTAGCACGAGACATGTCTGAGCAGGTGAGGTCCTTGGGGTTTCCTTCTCCAGTCCCAGCTGCCTCTTCCTTCTAGCTCAGGGGTCTTCAAATTTGACAGCTTTAAGACTTGTGGACTTCAACTCCCAGAATTCCCCCTCCAGTCATATTAGCTCAGTTGAAGTCCACAAGTCTTAAACTTGCCAAGTTTGAAGACCCTTGTTCCAGCTACTCGGCCATGTCTAGATTAGTCAGTTAAAGACAGATCAGATAGTGAAGAATCTGGGGAAACCAATGCAGAAACATGGAAGGAGTGGATATTGTTAGTCCACATGGAAGGACATGATAGCAGTCTTGAATTTGCCGGTAGTCCTTGACTTATGACCAGTTACTTAGCGATTGTCCCAAAGATGCTTTTTCCAGAGGCAACTGGACTTTTCAAGAGGCAACTGGACTCTTTGAAGAAGCTTCTTGGATGAGAAGTGAAACATCCTTCAAGGAAAAGCCAAGAAAGTCCAGTTGCCCCTTGAAAAAACATCTTTGGGACAACCATGACCTGGATGACTGACATTTGCTTAGCAATTGTTCAGAATTGCAATGGATTTCCACAGGAGTACTTATGACCCGGTTCTGAAGTTCTGATGGCTGCCGTCCGCACCAAGGCCATGTGACCACATGTGCATTCGGTAGCTAGCTTTTATCATTTATAGTGGCCGGTGGTCATATGACTACATTTTATCACGTTTTTGCCGAAAACCAGCATTTACTTCCCTTTTTGGCAAAATTAGGTTTTGGCAAACAACGGTTTCATTTAATGACTACAGTGTTTGCTTAATGACTTCTGCAAAAAAGGTTGTAAAATTGGGCCAGTCACGTGACCCATTTTATGACCATCACAACTGATGACCATAATAGGCAATCTCCATTAGAGTTATAAGTCGAGGGCTACTTGTATTATGGAAAAAGAGCAGAGAACTCTTTTTTGCCCCAGGAGCTCCATGCAATTTCTCACACACATCTATCAATGTATAGAGATGCTTTCTTCTCACCATAATCTTTGCCCTCCTCTAATTAACTTTGAATTTTAAACAGCTGTTAGAGAGCCAATACTGGGCATTCCAGAACAATGTTTCTCAGGCTTGGGGACTTTCAGATGTGTGGACTTCAATTCCCAGAATTCCCCAGCCAGTCAGCATCCTGGGAGCTGAAGTTCACATAGCTTAAAATTTTCATGTTTGAGAAACATTGTTCTAGATCAGGGCTGTCAAACTTGCGTCGCACATTGGCCACACCCCTGCCCGGTTAACAAAGAGAAAAACAAAACAAAACCTCAGAATGCTGGCAGGGAATTCTGGGAATTGAAGTCCACACATCTTAAAGTTGCTAAGTTTGCTAACATTGTTCTATCTGGCCTTCCCTCCTTCTCCAGATGCTGCTCTGTGCCTCCAGTCAGAACAATAGCATTGTGGAGTGCTGGTCACTCCGGAAAGAAGGACTGCCGGTTAACAACATTTTTCAGCAGATTTCTCCCACAGGTAAGTCAGGTAGCAGATGTAGAAAGAAAGCAGCAGAAAATGGCTTCTTCTTCTCATTAGGTTGAAGTCAGTGGTGGGATTCAAACTTTTTTACTACTGATTCTGTGGGCATGGCTTGTGGGCGTGGCAGGGGAAGGATACTGTAAAATCTCCAGTCAGAGGTGGTATTTGCTGGTTCTCCGAACTACTCAAAATTTCCGCTACCGGTTCTCCAGAACTGGTCAGAACCTGCTGAATGCAACCTTTGGTTGAAGTCATCTTGGATTCCTGAATGGTCAGACTGGGGAGTTTGAAATCTGTGAACTGCAATTCTAGCCCAAGCAATGAGGAAGAAAAAGCATAGACAGAACCTTGCGGGATCAGGACAAAGTCTTGGCCCAAAGTCACCCCAGCCACCTTTCATGCCTAAGGCAGGACTAGAACTCACAGTCTCCTGGGGATTGGCCCAAAATCATCACTTGAGACTTTCAAGAAGAAATTGGACTGCCATTTGTCAGAAATGGAGTAGGGTCTCCCGCTTGGGTGGGGGGTTGGACTAGATGACCTACAAGGTCCCTTCCAACTCTAATTATCTGTAAAAATCACCCAGACGGCTTTTGTGCCTAAGGCGAAACTAGAATTCTGTTTGTGTTGAATTTATGTTTACTGAGTAGAATTCTGTTTGTCCCGTATGAATAACATCCTTGTTTTTCATAGATGTGGTTCTGTTGCCAATGAAAAATTTTCACTTCTCTTTCCAGCTTTCCTTCTATTTATCTCCCTCATCACAGCTCAGAAGGAGCAATTTTTCTAAGGGAGAGCAATCAAACCGACAGGTGATGTTTAATTGTTGCCTTTGCACAGGAAATCTTGGCAACAGATTCTCATCACAGTCATTTCCCTCTGGAAATGAGCTTCTTTTGATTCTTCCTTCGGCGAGAAGCTATTAAATTTGGAACATCCTGACCTGCCAACTTCGAAGCTGAATTTCTGCTCTTTTTGCTTAGAAACAATTACATCTGATAAATTTGAAGAAGGTGCCAGTATCATTTTGAAAAAAAAAAAAATCCAGGCTGGATATGTCATGCAGGCCACGCCCACCGCAGCTCCGCGAAGGGGGGGAAATGTTGTGAAATGTCACGTGATGGCAACGTGACACCGCGAGTTTGACACCCGTGTAGTACTCATACAGTCTCTTCCAAACCAGGCCTCTTCAGAAATTTCAGGACTACAGTTTCCCTGAATTCTGAGCAGTCAGCACACCCAAAGAATTCTCAGTATCCCTGCTGCTCAGAATTCTGGGAATTGCAGTCCCAAACACATCTAGTAATCTGATTGCGCTAAGCAGAAAGGAAGAAAATGCCATTTCCAAATGCTTTTCTGCAGTACTTTAATTATCCTCTTCCTCTTCATTTCTAAGTTGGGGACAAGCCACCGATGATCTTAAAATGGCGGATCCTTTCAGCCACTAATGACCTGGACCGAGTTTCTGCTGTGGCGTTACCCAAACTGCCTATTTCTTTGACCAGCACCGATTTGAAGGTAGCAAGTGACACCAAGTTCTACCCAGGTTTAGGTGAGGAAAGTTTTTCTTGGATGTCTTGTCTTATCAGATAGGCAAAAAAAAACCCAAAAACCTAGTGTTGTGGTGACACGGTTGTTATACTGCATTATTGCAGGCTAATTCTGCTCGCAGCCAGGAGTTGATGCTGACGGGCTGAAGGTTAACTCAGCCTTCCACCCCTCTGAGGTCGGTAAAATAAGGACCCAAATTGTTGGGGGCAATAGGCTGACTCTGTAAACCGCTCAGTGTGTGTTAAAGCAGGGGTCCCAAAACTCTGGTCCACGGCCCATTCTGAACCGGGCCATGGAAGTGATGGATGAGTGCACACACGAAACCAACCCTTCTCCCCCCGCCCTGCTACTTCTGCCAGTCCGCTGCTTTAAAGCACTATGGAGCAGTGCATAAGTTTAAGTGCTATTGCTAGCGTGATCCATCCTTGGAAAGTTCCCCCATGCCAATTTCAAAGCTTAACCCCCTACTTCCTGTTCTGGGCCGCAGGGGAGTGACCAGTGGGACTTCAAATCTAGGTTGTAAGTAACCCCCAAATAGCTCCATCAGAACTTCAAAGGGTCACTAAGAGACCAGTCCTAGGTTGAGAACTACCTGTACATCAAACTGTATCTCGTAAGAAAATTATAGATGTCTAAAAGTGGGATATCGAGTCTTGGGAATCATAGATGCATCATAATTAGAACTTTACTTACCAATTAGTAATTTGCCACTAACGTTAAGTTGTGAGCAGAAATGTCTCCCAGCAGTGATGTTGGATTGGCTTGCTCAGGGGATAAAATAAATAGAATGTTCCAGAAGGAATGCAGCCTTACTTCTCTCAGTAAACCATTTTAAAAATCCCTTTGCAATTTACCCACCTCTGTTGCAGGCCTGGCGCTTGCTTTCCACGATGGCAGCGTCCACATCATCAACCGCCTCTCCTTGCAAACCATGGCGGTGTTTTACGGCTCCACCTCACAGCGACCGGTGGATGACCAGGCCATCAAACGGCAGAAAACTTCGGGGCCTCTAGTCTACTTCAAAGCGATGCAGATGTCTTGGACTTCGCTGGCCTTAGTTGGAGTCGATAGCCACGGAAAGGTACATTTATCTTTAAAAATAGATCCCCTCAGTATTTAAAGCAGGGAGGCCAAGAAAGATTTTTACAGGTATTCCTCAAGTTATAACCGTTGTTTGGTGACCGTTCAGAATTACAACGGCCGTGAAGAGAGTGACTTAAGGCCAGTTTTCACGCAACCATTGCAGGATCCCCATGGTCACATGATCAAAATTTGAGTGATTGGCAACTGCCATGTATTTATGACAGTTGCACTGTCCTGGGGTCGTTGTCTGATCACCCCTTGTAACCTCCCCAACCGGCTTCTGACAAGCAAAGTCAATGGGGGAAGCCAGGTTTGTTTAACAGCTGCATGATTCACTTAACACCTGTGGCAAAAAGTTCATAAAAATGGGGCACAACTCAATGAAACTGCTTAGCAACAGAAATTTGGGGCACAATCCGAGGTGGTATTCAGCAGATTCTGACCAGTTCTGGAGAACCAGTAGCGGAAATTTTGAGTAGTTCAGAAAACCGGCAAATATCTCCTCTGACTGGCCCCGCCCCCATCTATTCTCTGCCTCCCGAGTCCCAGCTGATTGGCTGGGTCTGCTTTGGTTGCCCTGCACAGGAGAACAGAGCTGGAAAGCAGGTTAATGGGGTGGGGAGGGAAGGGGGATTTTGCGGTAACCTTCCCCAGCCACGCCCACCAAGACACCCCCACCAAGCCACGCGCAAAGAACCAGTAGTAAAAAAATTTGCATCCCACCACTGGGCACAATTGTGGTCGTAAGTCAAGTATTACTTGTACTTCCCCTTTTTCCAAGACAAAAACATAAAAGAGCTGGATTGGATCATAAGGAAAATCCTCTCACCTGCTTCCAGATTTGGAGATAGCCAAAATGGCCTCAAGGCGTCAGGCATCTCTATCTCCCTGCGTTGTTTTTCTCACA